ATGACATCATTGGAGTTGCTGCAATCGACTTAAGGGGTCTGTCGTAGGTCAACTTACATCACCTACTTTACTAATCCCATGGCTTGGCCCCACTTAAAGGTCACATTACGTAAATGCGAGTGGCGGTTTGGGTTTCGAGGTAATTTCTCGACCAAAATGCATAAACAGGCTACTAATGACTGTGTTCAGCCTTAGTCGTAAGATCAAATGGCGGCACTGCGGTCGTCTTCACACACCTTGAGCTCATTTCTAAGTGTAAGTGTAATATTCTCTAGACAGGCCCTACCGCGTGGTCATGTCTGCCTTAGTGATACAGAGGATATGTCTTGGCATCTTTGCTTCCTAAAGTGTTCGATATTGTCATCCAGGCGTCACGGAGGGCGCCCTTGTGGCTCCAGACGTCATTTTTAGGTCAAAATAAATCCTCCGGTGTCTGTATCCGCAGTCCAGTCCTCATTACACGACCATCTAAAATTACGGAGGAGTGCCTTTCTATCCGAGGGTCAAATTACGTCACCTGACACACGATTTTCGCCCTCTAGACCCTGTTCAAGGTCCAATAACGTCATTGAGGTCATCCAAATCGGTTCGTGGGTAGTTTCAAGGTCAACTTCTTTCATCATTTGTCTGTACACGTCCTTCAAGCTCACTTCAAGGCTATACCACGTCACTAAGATTGCTAATATCAATCCAGAGCTAAGGCGCAGCACAAATTACAACATTCTGTACACAATTTTGCCACTTAGGCCTCATGTCAAAGTCATGCCGCATCACAGAGGGCGATTTTATCGATCCAGAGGTCGTTTTTAGGTCAAATCATGTCATTTGCTGCACCAATCTGCCAACCATTTCGAATTTGTAAGGCAATAGGTCACAATAGCGGTCGGCCTTGGTGATACAGGGACCATTTCCAGGTCAACTTATGTCATCAAATGTTCTGTTTTGCCATACAGGCCCATTTCAAGGTCGTATTCCATTGCTGGGTTTGCCACGGTCAATCCAGAGGCTATTACTAGGCTAAAATTACACCATCCGGTATCTTTGTCCTTTGCACTGCTCCATTTAAAGGTCATCAAACGACTCTAAGGGCATCTTTTTGAATTAAAAATCATTTTGGAGTCAATTCTTGCAATTCGTTTTGTCGTTTGAGGCTTTGACAGCCCAAAATCAGGGTGAAATGAAATTACGGGGAGCGGTCTCATTAAATTAAGGCTCGTTTAGAGTTAAAATTTCGTTGTCACTCTTCTTCAACCGCTATCCAGTCCCCAAGTCAAGGTCAAGTGATATGAATAGTGATAGCCTTGTTGACCCAGGATTTGTTTTTAGGGCTTTTCGATAACATGGCTGTGGGTAGATGTCAGATAACACCAATGATTGAGATCTCATTGATCCGATTGTCGTTTTAAGGTCAAATTACGTCATTTGATGTCTAATTTTATGTCGACTCCTCGTTGTAAGACCACATGATGCCACTGGAGCCTTTGGGATTGATCCAAGATTTCTTTTCAAATCAAACCATTTCATCCGATGTCATATGCAATCGTCCAGGCTCATCCAAGTGCATGTGGCGTCACTGAGGTGGCCTTAATTTTAGTCTGTCTAACGAAACCCAATGACTCTCTATCATTCTCTAAACCCTTTTTTACGACTTTAAGAACAAGGCTTTGGATGTTTGAGGGTCTCCCCTTCCGGTGTTTGGAACTTGCCAAGGGCACACCATTGGAAGTCAACTTCTACATCAATCTTGGTCGACTAGGGCCTTCAATACAGGTAGGTGCAAGGCCTGTCCAAAGCTTGAGAAGGACACTTCGATGCCTTAGTCAAGGAAAGGTGCAGATGACATGTGCAAGTCCGTCTTTGCTGCTCTGACCAATCTAAGCGATCTTTGCACCCAGCCAAAACGCGTTTTCAATGATGGGAAAAAGGAACTTCACTGCCTACTTAAGTTCTATTTACAAATGCTCTCTTGTCCAGGGACTAAAGCTGGAACGAACGAAAATATTTCGACGCGCCTTCGATACCGGTGAGGCTAAGTGGGTGTAGCAGTCGTCCAGACCCACACCGCCTTCCACCCTCCAAGACAATGTACATCAGTTGATTGGCGGGACGCTGCACCGCAGCGTAATTGGACACTCCAAATCGCCCTGGGCCTCTCCCATCGCATTAGTTAAAAAAGGTGACGGCAGTCTGCGTCTATACGTCTGTTATATGAGACTCAATACAGTAACAAAGAGGAGTGCGTGCCCTCTGCCCCACACTGAAGACTCGTTGGACTGTCTGCAAGGAGCAAAGTGGTTCTCGACGTTGGACTCGAACTCCAGCTACCAGCGGGTGGAGGTAGCGGAGAGGGATAAGGAAAGAACGGCCTTCATTGTACCAAATGAACTCTAGAAGTTCCGAACTATGCATTTGGGACTTTAAAACGCAGCGATCACCTTCCAGCGACTTACGCAGACGGCATTACGCGGTCTGCTCCCAAAACACTGCATTATCTATCTGAATAAAATCCTCAAGAAACAACTTCAAGGCCAAATACGAAAGAATGCAGTTCTCTTAAGACCTCCGTCCCTTTCTTGGGACACACTATTTCTGTAGATGGCATGACAGTCACAGAAAACTGAATCAAGCAGTAAAGCAATTGAGCTCTGTAGTTTCCTCATTCATCAGGAGTTTTGCCAATATCACTGACCCACCACAAAAGTTGAAGTTAGGCGAATTAGGAGTTTCGCTGGGAAAATGAACACACAGAGGTGTTTGAGAGGCTGAAAAACATCCTCTTCGTGGTACCTCATCTAATTCAAAGGCTAGTGCTCCTCCTTTCGTGCTGGTTACAGATGTAAGTGACGTAGCTGTAGGCAGCATTATTTCCCAAAGACACAAAGACGGAGTCGAATACGCCCTTACTTATGCCAGCTCACGTTTGGACACAAATCAAGCCTTAATAGAGCGATGGAACGGGAATTTATCACCATCATTTTAAACACTGCCTGACAAGACAAGCACCGCTCAGTTGCCTGAGGGTACGAAGAACTACAGCAGTAAGACTATAGTGCAGCATAAGAAAAGGCATGCCGATGGCAGCACAGATGCCGTTCCGCAGACCTCCTCCAGCCAGTATTGATAGCCGTACAGTGGGTACCATGGTGTTAGCAAACCTACTCCATGCCACCAAAGAAAAATGCAGAACTCTGAACCCTATCCAACCCTCATGTAAAAGAGACTAAAGACACCTGTGATTAAGTCTACAGTCGAGAAGATGAGCTTAATGAGCAAAGACAGCCAAACATATATGACAGAACGTGAAGGCACAAGGGCAATGCAAGGAAGCTTGAACATTTCGTTGTGCTCGAATCGCTGACACAGGCAACCCTGCTAGAGCCACAAAAATAACTCTGCCAATTTGGAGGAAAGAATATGATTGACATTACAAGGAAGAAGTGCTGTTGACCCTCACTAAACTCAAATGGATCAGATTTCTGCCACACATGCGTCACGAGTACCAGCTTCAAGGATCGCGGTTGGACTTCTTCAGTCAATGTCTACCATCTCAAACGCTAGACCCAACATAACAGACTATCTCGTACCCGGTTAATAACAGTCCGCCATACCAAAATGCTCCTCTATATAAGTGATTAATATGCATTTTCACAAAGGTGAGGTTCGCACATTAGCAGAGAGAAAAGTTGCCTCGTGGACTCAGCAGGAAGCTTACCAACACCGGAGGTGACACTCGAGAGGGTGCCTAAATTGGTCCTACAATTTGAATTCTCATTCAGAATTCCGAACATTTAACTCAAAGAGTCTGCTGAGACGACACCTCTACCCTGATAACAGCTTCTTCTATGTGTAAACTCTGAAAGCCATTGGAAGGGATATCTAAAACAGAGGATCACTGCTGCTTTGGCAACTAATGTATGTCTGTTCGTTCCCCTTATATGGTGAGGGTGTTTGTTGATTTGAAAACGAATTCCATGCTTTAAGAACGAGAGGGTCCTAACACATTGTAGCTCCAGAGCGCCGTCTTATCCATACTCATGCCTAATTCGATTCTGTATAGGATGCTTAATAAGCCTTCTCTAGACTCCTCTGAGGGCATGGTAAGAGGCCACATAAATGTAGTCTCGGTTTCTGTGTAATATTTGTTGAACTTTGCAAGGGCTGCCTGTCTACACTCTGGTCCCCGATCCTCAGACTTCAAGAGGCAGTTGGTTGCAGACGATTTATTAGGCACTGTTATTAGGAAGGATGGGGAATATGATACAGATGAAGTGAGTAGGAGATATCAATCGAGGGAAGGCTCCTCGCCGGCTTCACGCACGTGAGTTGCGTTTCCAATTGGTTCCCACCTTTCACCTATCAAAGACCACTTTAACAAACTAGTATATATCGCAAACTTGTGTTAAGATGTTCAAATCGTTCCTGATTTTCGTTGGCGAATTGCACAGCTCTGAACATTCTCACTGCAGAACTACTCTGCCTGCCCTCAGGCTTCCACACTTCTGAATCCAAAAGGGGGCTGTTTGGATAAGGTTTATTTGGCCCTTGGTGCAAAAAAGGAAAATGCGGCTATTGATAAGACGACAAGGCTTTATCACTCCATGGATGCCTCTTCGTGCTCCCTTATAAAGGCGAGCTAAATACATTAGTATATTTTACGCTTACCTCCTCATATTTTTTATAAACGGACTTAGTGTATCTGAGCTTATTACAATTTATTAAGGTCCAAATGTTCATAAACCTTCACAGTCAAATGAAACATTTTTCCCACAGTGACCTTTAATGACAAACTATATACCTGTGATTTAACTAAACCATGTTATATTTAGAATCGTACATGGGGAAAGTAACAGTGATTGCAAAAAATCGATTCGTGTAAAAGCTCTGAAATGAACCAAATTAACGTTTAAACGACTAGCCAATTAGCCTCTTCGTAAAACGTGCCAGCCAGTGGGTGGTTTGCGGTCTCAACCCGCGCGTTCATTCGTTACAGATTAATCTAAATGCGGGAGATAGAGACGGTAGAGGATTTCGACAACTTGTGCCAGAGTTCAGCATCCGTAGACAAAATTTTGGTTGTCGATTTTTATGCCGTATGGTGTCGTCCATGTTCTCGAGCAAGTCCACTATACGAGAAACTCAGTTACCGTTATCATTATACTGATGTATATTTTGTCAAAGTAAACGTGGACACTTGCGTCGAACTGACTCATAGAGAGCTTATAACCTCCCTCCCGACATTTAAGCTTTACAAGGACGGTTCCTGTATTGGTACTTTTACGGGTAATCGTACACATCTCTTACTTATGAATTTTCTTAAAGGCGGTAATATGGATGTATTGGAAAAAGCAATCGATGAGGCGTATCTGGATGATTCGATTAAAGAACTTTCGTCCAATTCATTATCTCCCACGTTTCAAAAGGCTAAAGCAAAGCTCTTGAGCGTAGCTAACATCGCTGCTGCAAAAGTTGCTGTTGGCAAATCCTTTGAGATAAACTTATCTGACCCGGTCTTCGAAAAGTACTTCCTTGTCACTCCTGGCTGCATGCAGTTCCTATTTAGGATGGGATTTCAGGTGCCCATCATGTGTACAGTTTCAACTGACCCTCTTCTCTCTCCACTTGCAGGAGTTAACGGAATCCCTTATGCTACCTGCAAATTCCAGTCGTCAACACCTCAACAAACTAATTCGACAACTTCGGGGTCCGCCACCTCCCAGAATTTCTCCCAATGACAATGCTCTACTTTCAAAGCTGGAGAACTATCGCCATGATGTTAGCCTATATGCTAACCCTGCTTACCAGGTATTCTATCAGCTAGTCGCTCCTCTGGTGTACTTTGGTGGAATCTCGAAGCATTTTCCTTTGGGAAGTATTGAACCTACTCGCTAGGATAGCTATTTTTGCCACCAGCTGGAGACTGTTGGTAGCATAGTTCAACTCTTTTCCTTATATTTCCTTCCAAATACATATATTTTCAATGGTCTGCAGGCTGTGACTTTTCCTTTTAGGCGTTGGCTCGGAAGGCCGTTCCTCTGGATAATCTCCTTAAAGAGGCTTTGGGGTTAAGTAGAGCCTCTCGTACAAACGTTGGTTCCTATAGTCTTCTACGGGCTTTGTTGCGCTGGTTCAAAGAGGACTTCTTCACCTGGGTGCAGGATCGAGTCTGTGACAAATGTGGCTCCATCATGGTTGCGAAAATTGGTCCGCCTACTGAAGCTGAGTCTGTGGAGGGCTCAGCTCACATAGTGGAGATCTTCACTTGTCCTACTTCCTCCGCGCATCCGCAGCAGCGCTTCCCACGATTTAATAATCCTGCAAAGCTCTTGCAGACCAAGGAGGGGAAGTGTGGCGAATGGGCTGGATGCTTCTGCTTCATTCTTGCCTCATTAAGAAAGCCAGGTGGGGGTGATAAAAAAACAAGTAGCAATGCTGACGAAGCTGAAGGAGCTCCCTGGTTTCCAGGAGTTCGTTTGGTTTTCGATGTCTCGGATCATGTCTTTTGTGAGGTGTAAGTTCCTCGTTTTTCTTGTCATAACTGGGAATTTGATCTGTAAGAGGCTTTGCAAACGTGCAATGTCTCCTTTAGTTGGCTAACCGACCTGGAAGATCTTCCTCAGGACAAAGCTGCTTCAACCAGCGGAGGTCGTTGGGTTCATGTTGATCCCTGTGAAGGTCTAGTTGATGTTCCATTGGTCTATGAGCAAGGCTGGAAAAAGAAACTTTCCTATATGTTTGCATTTACGGTTCCGCCTCCTACAAAAAATGCCTTACTTCGCTACGAAGGCGTGGATGTTACAGACGTGGTTTGGAAGTATTCCACCGATTTCAAGGCTGTAGGTGCTATTCAAGGAGGCAGAGGTCTTGAAGTCGCTCCTTCTAGTTGTCACTTTACTCGGACTTTCGTAGGTTTGTCAACGTCGGAAAAGTATCTCTGAGAGTCGACTGGCGCGCTATCTCGCTCAAGTTCATGACGAAGCCGCTCAAGCCATTCCTGGCTACGAAGACTCGCCTCTTGGCCTCCCTACAACAGTTCAGGAACTCGCTGTCATGATGGTTCCTCCTAGACCCTCGTTGGAGTCACTTCAAGGTCGAAGGTCGGGGTCGGAATCATGGAGACGCTCTCGTCTTGAATTTGGCATTGTTCCGCTTCCTTGGGAGGGGTAATGCACCAACATGCACTTTGCTACTTATATTATTATAAGTAAGCCGTTTTCCGATCTTGGTTTACCGCCTTCAGCTCGGGGTTTGTGATCACCCCAACACCAGCTGAACTTTCGCGAAATTGCATCTACATTCGTTACAATTGTGCCCTCGACGCTTATGCAAGACCCTTTCACAAAGAGGTATCAGTAACAACTGACGATGATAGCGAGGGGTCTTCTCGAAGATCATCTGAAGGGCCGAAGTACCTTAAGGAGGTGTATAAAGAGAAATGGACCTCCATGGCTCTTCGATGGCGAAACATCGCAAGAAAGGTGCCCATCCTTTGTCGCCATTTGCCATAGTGTCTGCATGCATTGTCTAAGTGACAGTTGTATTGCTCAGGTTGAAAAGGATTGGAAGATGGTTTACCTGGCTCGTAAAGCGGGTTGTCAGAGCTATGAAGATGGGGTGGTCGAATGGCTTGTAGATCTATCCGACACGGAGTATTCTGTGAGGTCAGTGACATTGTTTGCTACCATGGCGATCTTCGAGGAACGCTCCAAAGTGACTTTGGATGTCACTACTGACACATCAAAGAGTCGTTCTCTTTCTGCGGGATCGGCGCCGCTTTCGGCGTGTGCGGATTTTGCCGGTGCAAAACAGGTACGGTTGACCGCGCGCTTGTGGAATGAGTTGGAGAACACAGACTCCTCCGTGTGGCAGAAATCGCAGATCTTCCGTCAGAAGGTGTGTGTGTGTGTGTATGTGCTTGTTTCCCTTCTTTGCATCCGCATATTACGGTCGCCTAATAGTCCAAATAAAACGATTCAACTGTTCAAGCTGTCGTCTTATCCTCTCTCCTTTTTTTCAGGAAACCGATCATGAAACATGGCCTTTGGAGTTCAAGGTCTTGTTGGAAAAGGATAAAGAGAACAAAGGGAAGAAGTAATTGACTGGAGCTCTCCTCCTCTCTCTCTCTCATCCCCGCTTTCAAGCTTTCTACCAACTTTCTAGTTTGGGTGCTAAATAACCCCTCTAGCGATTATTTATTACATTACTTTGACATACGGTTATTCTCACAGTAATTAGACCTGTCTGTTCAATTTCTTTTTTAAACATTAAATAAATAGTCTCGTTTGTGTTCAGGCCATCGGTACTTGTAGTTACCTTTGTTGAGCTTAGCGTTGTTTTCTCAGTGAGAGTTGGGGCGATCGCTATTACACTGAAGAAGGCATCACCAATGGCCTGGAAGGTGAGTCCGTGTTTTCTTCGTTGAATTTTATGATGCTTGAAAGGCGTGAATTCACCTGGAAGACGAGGAGGAGGACGCTGGTTGTCATACTCAATGATGGAGATGCTCTGCCTTGACCTTGATAGGGTTCAGGGAACTACATTTGCTGGACATCGTCTTGAGAATTGCAGTCCAACGTCGGGCTGTAAATTGCATGCGTGTGAAGTCATTTTGTTTGGTTCAGATGCTCTTCCTGATCTTCATTCTAAGTCCACCTATTCTGTCCCATCTGAGTTCTGGTTCAATACTGCTTCGACTCCGATGTAGTTCGTTTTTTTGCCTCTCTGTCTCATAACGATCCTTTACAGTTTGGTCTCTTTTCATGTTTCACTGCCTAAAGTTTCGAGAGGGTGATTGGTACGGCACGTAATCTTGGCCGTTGCAAGCTGCTGGCTTTGTTACTAATGTGAAAGCTGTCACTTATGAGGACGTCATAGGACGCTAGATCTGTAAAATAGTTAGCTTCTTCGTAATTCAGTAGCGTTTTTTTTTGCTGTTGGTCAGTCTGTTAAAATTATTCTTTGCGCACTACGAAAGATGGGTTTTGAATCTGAGAAAACCCATTGCCTAGTTCAAATCCACCCTAACTTGGAACTTATCTCGAGTTTTCTTCAAGTATGAGTTGGTGTTTGAGTTAATTCCCCTCTTGCCCGTCAAACATTTTCTGCCTAATTCTTTGCAAAATGATAGTGGATGCACTTATTTCCTACTTATAAACAATTTGAGTAGCATGACCTCGAAAACGTTACGTAGTGAAGATTTGGTAGTGGTAGAGAGATGGCCATCACAAACAGCGGGCTTGTTTACTGGGGGTCGTTGTTCTACCGGTGATCATTTTAGGGTCAGAGGTCATGGCGCCGCCTGGTGGCCCACATTTATAGTCAGGCGTAAACACACGCAAAGGTTCAGTAATAAGTTCTTCGTTTCTTTCTCTCTAACGCCGATCATTGAACTTTAAACCAAGAGAGATTATTTTATTGACCACTTCCAAATGCGACAAAAGGCTAATTCAAATTCTGCACTTCAAAACAGAAATATGTTATTCCGATCTTGTGGGATTTCTGAACCGTGTTCCCGAGGCAAGGCAACGTTGCTTGGGGTGGTTTGTTTTAGGAATGCATAGATCTCAGCCAATGCAATAACATCCCTCACCTCCTTTAGGAGTAGAGACTTCCAAAACTTTATTTTGTGTCATGGTATTTGAGATCCCTCTTTTCCTCTTCTCCCTCCATTACAACACTTGAGTTCGATTGAGCAGCGTTGAGTTGACCTCGATGTTGTGGACTTCATGTGACCTCTCTGAAAGTGTTCAACCATTTTAAATTGGCTGGGCTCTGTTTCGATGTGAACTCGACAATTGCCTAGGAGGTAACTTTAGCAATACCAAGCTGGCATGGCATTTGGATGCTAAGAGTCGCCGTCCTTTTGAGCAATTTACCTACTGCTGACCTTCTGACGGTGAAGGTGAAAGGGACATACTTTAACGCCTACCTCTACCTCCCAAGTTGGAAATCATGGAGGCTGAAGTTGATTTCTTTCCGATTAAAATTGCGCTAAATGATGAGGTTAATCTGGTCTATCCAACCGCTTGTTGCCACTTTTCAGAAAAGAAAGAATCAACTATTTATGACCTGACACGCGCGTTACCTATTTGTGACCTCGGATCCGTGTAAGAAAGGCAAAGCACCAGGTGTAGATTGCACAGAGAAAATCAAAGGGCGATTTTTCTTTTTTAAAGAAAATAATGATTTTTTGATTTTTTGGAAAAGTTTGCCTCACCTGATTTTGAATATTACGTCATTGAATCCGCTTATTTGTAGTACATGACCTTAAACAATGGAACATGTTCTATCTACCAATGACTTAGGCTTTCATGCACTCAAAATCAGGTAGTCAGATGACGTTCTTGTTACATGGAATAGTTAAATGACAAAAACTACAAACAAAAACCTTAGGTTTCTGGCTCTTTTAAAAGTAAATAGAGTTGAACTGATGTTGATGGAAATTGGGAACAATTAAAGTCGGGCTGATTTTGATTGGCTGCTGAGATTGGCCCGCTAAAAATTGTTTCACAGCCTCCTTACTAGGAAGAGCAATAATAGTGAGTGACAAAAATTTAAAAAAAAACTATCTTTTTTTGATAATTATTTTAGTCTTGGTTAAGAATTATATTGCTTGTAAGGTTGCAAATCTTTGCCTGGCCAAATCGAGGACCTCAAGGCAGAGTGAAAAAAATTTGTTGTAGTATTCAGCAATGAATATACTTGAAATATATATATACGTCATATAAGTTATGGTTCTAGGCGACTCCTTCTTGAAAATAGTTTACGTTTTGGGTGGAACAACAAATAACATTAGTGTCGAATGTCCAAGTTAACCAAACCCTAGGTGTGTAAAACCATAATTGAGAAACAGTTTCAATGCATACGAAGTCGCTTATTTAGCCTTCTTTATTTTGTTGCGTGCTGTCTACTGCTGGGTAGCGCATCCAGTCGCCTCGTTGTGATGGCAACCAGAGAGAGCGGAAGGATGCGAGAGACAACAATCTCGGCTATGAGCGCATACTGTGACCTTAGCATGACCTCATACATCGTATGTGCATGAATGCTACCGTTAGCATTGACCGTACGACCCAAGCCGTTAATTAGCCGTAGATGCCCTTCCTGCAAAGCCTGTAGTTGAGGCGCTTGAGCTGACTAGAAAGTGGACGCCACTGGCTGTTCAAGCCCATTACCTAAGTGAAAATGATCATTATGTCGTTTAAATTCTCATCTTCTGAACACCAAGGAAATTATTTTGCCAAAATAAAAAATAAAAACGCATTAAAAATACGATTTTATTTTAAAGGACACTAATAGCCAATCAAAATTTTCGGCCAGTCAGCCAATCAGTGTTGAGTTAATGATTGATAGGAAGAGCAAAAATTAGTCTAATCCTCTATCGATCCGCCGAAGCTTTGGTCATTTTCTTATCTCTCGTCTAATTTCGACTGATCCCTTTGTGCTTCGGTCGTAGACGCGGAAACATGTGATTGGCCAAAATTCACCTCTTTTAAAGCCAATTAGGAAGCAGCACCTGAATTTCATTCACACTGCCCGACTTTGAATTACCATGAGCATTATTAGCCTTCCTTCTTGCTGATTCCATATTTAAACGAGTAATGGATGTCATCAAGACCAATTACTTATTGACATAATATACAAAATAAAAAAATGAGAAATAACTTTTATCCGAACGAAAAGGCAAGTTTATGTGATTGGCTGTCGAAGGTCTTCAAGGATAAACACCTGCTCCCGAAATTGTCACTTTTAGACGAGTCAGCGTTTCTAGAGGATCTTCTGTTAAGTAGTATATAGCTCATTGTCGTCTTCATTTAAAAGCGATGGTAGTAGCAAAAGCCTAAACTGTTTGTATCCGCATTCCAATACAGCTCAGATACACCACAGTAACGGAAGTTTTAGCATCCTAGCAAACTTCCATTACAGTAGGTAAGGTAGTGACCTTTAGCTGTCTACTTTAGCTGACCTTTAGCTGTGCTTTGTACCAAATTTACGAGCTGCAAGGTTCGGCGTCCGACTGATAATGGTAATAGCATTGCTAGGTGACTGGTTCTTCTTTTCTTGAAGTAAAACATTCGTAACATATCAGTTAAAAAGGAAAATCGAACTTTGAAATCCCAATCACCGGTAATGATTTTACCTTGCATTGATTTGGGGAGGCATTTTTGTTCATAACAGTGGCCTTCGAAGTGAGATTGAGGTTGGAGAAGGGAGTCGCAGACAGTCACCAACTCGTCCCCTCAAGTCCGACGTTCAACTTTGTTCGCTATCTGGACTTCATCTCGTCTCATTGGTCTATCACACCTGCTTAGGTCATCACCTCATTCAAAGACCCTCTTATGCATAACCGTCATCTTCCTGGCCCAAGCTGGGGTGACCCGAAGCTCACAACTTCCATTGGCTAACTCAACTGTCCTAAAGTCATCAACCACTTCATCACAAATTTATGACGTCACTTACGTCACATTGGCAAGTGCTAGCGCTTCTTGTTCTGCTCTCTTAACACACTCAACGCTAACCATCCTTCCTCTTGTCATTATAAGACTAGGTTGGATTAATGCATTCCAGCTGATAGTCCATTCCCCGGACATGGCGCTGCACAACCGCTAATCATCATTTCATGCCTTCATTAAATGCACTTTCGACAATTACATCTTCCAATCCATTCAGTGAAAGTGGCTTCCACACGATGGTTCAAATTTCTATACCAAATACCTCTACACAGCAGAAGGTATCCTAACCATTTAATTGGATGTAGGACGGTGAAAAAGCAGCGCGTTTTCAGCCAAGGACTCAATTATTAAAGATGGACGAAAAAGGCGATATCGATGAAAAGACATTTTGCCCTCGCAGAAATCAAAATGCATTTCAGGTAGACTGTATCCATCTCAATAAATATCCTTAAATTTTATTAACTCGATTTTACTGATACCGATTTCCCCTATTGAAAGGTCTCACGAGGGTTCGGTGGTTCTGCCTTCTGCCACGACACAGGCATCTCATAGGCCACAGCGATCTGCTTACGAAGGTAATTTGATATTTATGTAGGCCATCCTCAGGTCACATCGCATTCATGCCTACCTCATTTGTTCGCCTCCCATCTTCTCTTCCCTCCATCTCTCCCACTCGCCTCCCTTCCTCTCGCTCCCCTTCACACAAAAGTGCATCTCTCCACCTCCTCCCAACCACTTACTCACCCACCGCATACACCCAACTCCATCATCGCCACTCACCTCACACTGGTGCATTGTCACCCACACAGCCCACATTTCGCCTCCTCCTCCTCCTCCACACATCCCAACTTCATTCACCGATCACTCTCATACGTCCTCCCTCCTCCCACACCACATTCTTCGTTCTATGCCTCCATCACTTGCACATCAGTCGTCTTCATGTCGCACACGTTGGCAAGGCCACACAGCGACATACACACCAAAGTGAGCCAAGTGCAATGCGTACACGAGTGCAGTGAAGAGTGGACAGTTCAGCTCTCAATGCGCCCACTCAACTTGTAGTCA